CCCCCCCGGGCGCACCCGGGGGGGCGCGGCAAGCGTGGAGTTCGGGCTCCGGGCGCGGGCAGGGCCCGGGGTCCCGGCCCATCGGAGTCGGCCGCGGGCTTTGTGGCGGGAGTGAGGGGAAGCGGTGGCCGGACGCCGCAGGCCTGGTGGCAGATGGCGTGGAGCACACGTCGGCGGGGCACGGGAGGCCTCAGCCTGGGAGCTCTCGGTAGCGGGGCCCGGGCTGGGGCGGGGCGGGGGGGGGGCAGGGCTGCCTGGGCGGTGGAGCCGGCTCCGGTGTCGGTGCATAGGTTGGTGGGGAGAGGTAGGCGTCGCCACTACTCCTGCGTGGACGGGTTAGGCGCTAAGGTCTAGGAGGCGGTAACCGGAGATAATGAGCCTGAAAAAGATAAGTATCAGGTTCGGTCTGCAGCAGAGTGAGAGATGAGCGGTAAGGGGTGGTGAAATGAATTCTTGGCCCCCTTCCTCCCAGAATTGGTGATCCTTTTATTAGTATATGTTGAATCATGTAGCTGCAATTCTCCCGCCATCGAACCCACACCCACACGTAGATGGCACTTTGAGGCCTGTTTGGTGGTGAAGATTTTTGTATTAGAGCCCTTCCAGTATAGGCTCAAACTCAACTCCAGATAAACGAGGCCTCTGTGTTAGACGTCTTGGAATTGTAGGAGTTGGAAACACTGCACCCTCCCCGCAACCCCCACCTAATAGCGTTTCAGGGGAGAAAAAAGAAAATTACTTTGAATCTCTTCTGCACTTAAACCCTTGAACCCTTCAGAAGTCCACTGGTAAATTCTCATGCCGTCTTTGTATTTGTGACTGCAAAAAGAGCCGTTGTCGAAATCAATACAACTTCATGCCAAGAATCTAAAAATGCCATGAGTGTAAATTTACTGCTTATGTTCTGGAGTTGTGATTCTGTACCCCGTTAAGATTGTCATAATGCTAAGTTTAAGCCAGCAACTTTCTGCCCATCTATATTTAAAAAAATATTTTTGATTCTATTTTTGGTGGAGATCAGGGGCCTCGGTGTTAATTGAAGAGACCTGAGTTCCATTTGTGGCTCTAATTTATTTGATATGACCTTGGGCAAATAAATCTCTTAGTTGCACCCTCCGCACAATGGGAATAATAACTGCCTTGCATAGGTGTGAAGATTAAATGGTATTTAATTGGTGGTCAATAAATGGTATCGATTATTAATCAGCGGAGTGAGGATATAGTGTTATTTTACCTATCTCGTTTAATCTAAAGTTCTCTACATCTTTAATTATTTAAGAAACGTATTCCCAACCTTTTTGGAATTGTGGCACAAAATGATTTGATTTCAAGATATTGTATGTAGAAGTATTCTGGGTGGTAAATTCTTAAAGGTGCACGAGGTAACAATTACATATGAGAAACTTTTCAGAGTCCTCAGAAGTAATTGACAACACGCTGTGGATTGATATTACTTACAAATATCAAATTCTTCTTGAATATTCCTTTTCTGCTTAGTGTGTACTAAGTTAAAGGATTTCAAAGTTAAAATCCAGCTGTTTAACATTTTCAGACAAAATTTTACATAAAATGTCTATTTGAGTCTGGTTCTTTGTAGTAATAAATGTTAGTGCAACAGGAACTTTACCAGCTTATAATATTCAGAATTAGTTCCAGAATTATTGAAACCTGAATTTTTTGTAGGTATCTGTGGGTTTATTGAAGTTATGCAATGACTTTCCACAGCTCCGCTGAAATATATATGTTCTACAAGATTTGTATAGCTCTTTAGGCACTTTATGCATACGTTATCGTAGAGCCAATATTATATTTGTATAGATTCTTAACTGTATTTGCTGTTTTCCAATTTATTTCCAAGGGAATGTATTAAGTTGTATGAATTATAAATATATTTCCAGAAGAATATTTTCGGAAGCCTCAAGGTTACAGAGAGTGGCTTCTTCGGCTTTTTGTTGCTATTTCTATAAATGTAATTTTGTTGCCATTTATATAAATATGACCACTAACATTGTTAATCTGGGGCAAGAAATGAAAATATTTAATTTATGATATATGGAATATTTACATTAAAATGACATGTAGGCTTTTATTCTAATGGATTTAAATTTCAGAAGTGCTTCTCCAGCTAGAACTATTTTAATTTCATTTTTATAGTGGTTTTTCAATTAATATTTATTTTTGATACAGTACTTGAGAGTAGGATTCCAGTAAGAAATAATAAAAGTTATATTAATATAGGGAGACTCTAATTGTTGTGAAAACTAGATAACCAAAGATATTAGAAACAGATCTAAAATGCAGGGAAAAAATAGCATTTTAGTGAGGCCTTTAGGAAGATCTGCATAAAATTAACAGAGTTTGGTCTCTTAGACCTCTTATTTTGGCTGCTCAAAGGTTTGTCCTTGTTTGATTTTTACCTAGAAGGAACTAAGGAAATTTAACTTGAGGTGGCCAATATAGAAACTTGTGAGCTTGAGATGAGCAGGAGGAAAAATGAGTGAACACAAGGACTGAGAGATAAGAGGAATCGGGGGAGTGATTCATTTGTTGAACAAATAAATGTTTAGTGAGCTTCGACTGGCAGGACTGGAGGAGTTCGGAGACATGTGGGACGTGGTCTGGGTCTTCTGGGAGCGTTGTTGACCTAGCTGGAGCTCGCTGGCTATAGAGTACATGTACAGAGTGGAAAAAGCAAGCCCATTTGTTTTTAAAGTGTTTGTATTCCTTTAGTTTTTGAATGTTCAAAGTCCTCCCCCGCTTTTTTTAAACTAGCAAAACTTTCTTAACACTTATTAGCCATTTTGTACCATTTACTTGACCATTACCATGCCCTGCCTTTAGTGTTAACTATTGGAAAGCAGTCTTTTTATTATTAGAACAGTAATGCATCTCCTCTTCTATTCAAACAGTAGAGAAATAAAATGAGATGGTGGTATGTGTGGGATGGGGAGACCATTGCTAAAAGAATATTCTTCATTGTGTGGGCTTCTGTTTTAAATAGATGGTTTACTGTAAAACACTATAGGAGAAATTTACGTAATCTGTACATCAAATAAAGCATTTGGAGGTGTCTAACAGACTACTACTCCTATAAAATTCTTAAAAATTCTAAAGTTTAGTGGTGTGATGAACATTTAGTGGCAAATAGAAGACACAATTTTTAAGCTCAGATCCAGTCATTTAGTTTTTCGTTTTGCTGTTAAACTCATTAAGAAAGAAGTGAATTAAAGAACAAAAATTGAGATAATTGTAATATAGTGCAGATTGTATTGTGCCACTGGAAGTGATGACAAGAAAGAGTATGTGGTATACAGATTTAATCCTTCAATCTGCTAATCTTTGCTTCTGTTATGTGCTTTTATAACTGAAAAAAAAACCCAACAATAAGTTTGAGATAAGAGTTTAAATGCACAAGCTGAAATGTGATTATATAACTATGTAAGTGACATCAAATAGCTGTGTAAATACATGGGAAGTTTTTGGTAAGAGAATTGTGACAATACAGTAGTTTTAATTACTATTAACATATTTAGTGTGGTATACAGTGATCTGCAAAGAATTACCTAGCTTTTTGGTTTTATCTGTATAATATTGGTGATTGTACTATAAAATACTGCTTTAGTGCTTGTTCTGTATACGATATTTGCTAGCTGTCATTTATTAGCGAGTTGTTCTCATTGTGGTTTATTGTATTTTAGTATGGTTGTGCTGGAGATAGTGCCTTATTATAGAAGTTTAATAACATCATTGAAACATCAAGCGATAAATGTATTAAAATACTATATCACGTAGGTGAAATTAAGGTTTCTTGACATATTGATATTGGTAGAACAAAATATGGGAAGTACCTGGGAAATCTTTTGCTCTTTCTATGCCTGGCACACAGTAGACATTTAATAAAGATCTTTCGAATGAATTGAATACATTCTTTTGATGAATTGTCAAGTCAGTAACCCCTCAAAGTTTGCATGTTGATTCATTTATTTAATATTTATTGAGTACTTACTAAATGTCAGGTCCTGCTGTCATGGTGCGTACATTCTAGTCGAATAAATCAGTCAAAAAACAAATTTAAAAAATCAGATAATGGGAAATGCTATGTAGGGAATTGAAATAGGGTGAGGTAGTGTGATATTGCGTGACTGGGTGGCTACTTTTAAAATTTTAATTTAATTTTAAATTAAAAGGCCTTTTTGAATAAGGTGACATTTAAATTGAGATCTGAATAATAATAAGCACTCAGAGATGGGGAGAGTATTTTCTGTAGGGAAAGACCTTGGAGAGTATGTTTTGGGAATCCCAAGAAAAGCCTGGATTGCTGATCTAGTGGGTAAGGGGAAGAGGAGTAAGAGATTAGAGAGTTAGGCAAGGGGCTAGAGCCTGTAGAGCTTTCTAATAAGCTGAGGGTTGTCAAGGTAAAATAGGATGCTGGGGGGGATTTTAAGCAGAAGGAGAAATGATATCTTTTGTGATTTTGAAAGGTTACTTTGCCTGCTGTATGGAGGATAGAGTGGAATGAGCAAGAGTGAAAGCTGGGAGACCAGCTGGGAGGCTTGTGCGGTAGTCTTAAGCAGTCAAGGCCTTGACCAGGGAAGTAGGAGTAGAGATATGGAAAGAAGTGGATGGATTTGAGATGTGTTCAGGAGGGTAGAGTTGACAGAATTTTTTGATGGGTTGGAGTGGGGAAAATTGAGAAACCTAGATTTTGGTTGTATAAATTGTATACTTCTGTTCTTTCCTGAGATGTGGAGGATGGGAGAGGAGCAGGTTTGGAGATTGGGGTGGGAATTCAGGACTTCAGTTTAAGGTGCCTTTTAAACATTCAAATGGAGA